GTGTGTTGGGGTTGCTGCCGCAGGGGCAGCGTGCACGGCTGGGTTTTTCGCTCTGCGTGCTCTGCCGTTTCGGAGCCTCCCACCTGGTTCTTGATGCTGCTGGACGGTGGATGGTGCCTCTGCCCAGGCAACTCTTCTGTTTTTTCTCTTCTTCCCGACTTGTGTGAGGTTCAGCCGCAGGGCAGTTAGTCCCAGAGAGGGGGCAGGCAGTGAGAAGGCAGCCGATATTGCTTTGCTTCTCCCAGACAGTCCCTGCAGCAAAACTGGGAAACCGTCCTCTGAAATGGCTGTTTGGTAAGGAGATTTATGGCCCAAAATGGAGTCTGCCCCCTCTCCAGTCTGCTTTTGTACCATCCAGCTCTGTCGGTAAACAGCTCCGGTTTTGAGACAAAGACGGTGATTGCTGGCCAGGGCAGCCTCCGGGACGGGTGTGCCAGGGACCCCGGGGACCAACGGCAGCGCGGTGGGACCCACTGCCAGCCTGCTCCCGTGGGTGGGAGCATCCAGCTGAACAAATAACATGTGCTGGGAACAGGATAAGGTGGGAGCAGGGAGCTGGGGAGGGCCAAGCAGAAACAGGCAGCAAGTTCTCCGGCGATAAGGGCTGCTGCAGCAAGCATCTGCTGGACCCGGGGGAATTCTGGTATCCCGGAAAGCCAGGCTGACGTCTGAGCAGCTACAAGGCTGGAGTGACTCCGGCGGGGCTCCGTGTTTGTACTAGTCACAGAAGGCTTTGATCCAGGTGCTCAAACAGGAGTATTACAGTTTGCACAGCCCTCCCTCCAAGCCCCAGCTGTGCCGGTGACCCCGGTACTGCCGGTGATCCTGCCGAGGGGGTCCCACGATGCTGGGTGTCTTCAGGAGACGCTTTCCAGCCTGGGGCTGAGCTCCCCCCAGTTTGAAGTGCCCGTGACACAGCCACCTGGCTTGTGTTGAGCTGCTTTGCACAGGTTGTTTCATATCTCTCTCTTCCCAGTTGTCTGGGGTTTTGGCACCCAGCACACCCAGGAACATTAGTCTGATGTAAGCCGCTTCTCTTACAGCTTTACAGAGCGGCTTTGCTTTTTCCTGTACGGTTTGAGTGTCCTAAAGGCCACTCTGCAAAAAGAAAGGACAAGAGCCTGGGACTGGTGTAGATAGTGGCGTTGCTGGGGATCAACAGGGTGAGAGGGCTCTACCAGTGTACAGGTCTGGGTGTCGGGCCCCATGGCTGATACGCACCGTGTTTGGTTACTGCTCTGTGGCGGTTTGAACACCCTGGCCTTGAATTTCCTGTCCCTGCACGTCCTTCTGTCGTTTCAGTGTCTTCCCAAGGGAGCTCAAAGAAGTTTTTGCCTCATGGAGACAAGAATGCAGCAACCGAGGCCGCCCAGACATCAGTGAGCGACTGATCAGTGCCTCCCTGTTCCTCCGGTTCCTCTGCCCGGCCATCATGTCCCCGTCCCTCTTCAGTCTCCTGCAGGAGTACCCGGATGACCGCACTGCACGCACTTTGACCCTCATTGCCAAGGTCACCCAGAACCTCGCCAACTTCGCCAAGTAAGCGGGTGGGAGGGGGCAGGTCTGGAGAGGGGAAGGAACCGCCGGGTGTATAGGCAGAGCCGCGACTCCGGCATCAGGAGTCCCACGCTGGCCGCTCCTTTCTCGATGGAAGGGACCTGCTTGTTTCCTGTTGGCTTTTCCCCCCACGTCACTCTGAGACCCATTCCCTCACTGTCGGGTCAGGGAGATCATTTGAGTTTCCAAAACAGGACATGTTTTATGGGCAGGAAAATGGGCTGTTCTGACCACAGAGACGAGCAGGCGGGGTGGCAGCAGGAACGCCCCGGCACAGCCAGGCGCTTAGTCCGGTGCCGGCTGCGCGGGGCACGG